TAGATTTTATAAGGAACTTAATAAATAAATTAAATGTGACATTATACGATAGAGTTTTGATTTTTATCAAAACTTGCTAATAAATTGCAATAGTAATTTGCAAGTGATAGTATTAATAATTAAAAGAATTTATTTAAACTATTAATAAAACAATAAATTATTCTCAAAGTTATATTTAATAAAGCATATATGATTCATCTTATAAAGAGTTATTAATATTCATTAATTAGTTGAAATAATTTCAATTTACAAAGATATGATAAAACAAATGACCTTTTTTTTTTTTGATATTATAATATGCTGCGCATAGAATATATTGTATTTTAATGATAAACCTATAAAATTGATTAAAGAATGAATTAAAAAATAGGCAGGTACAGTATATTCATTAATATTCTGATGACCATGATGAAATCCATATGCCGTTTCATGCCAAGTATTTTTAATTATTGTCCCGACTAGTGGAAAAAAGTGACCGTGATGAAATCCATATGCCGTTTCATGCCAAGTATTTTTAATTATTGTCCCGACTAGTGGAAATTGGTTAAAAAAATTTACGATGACCTGTCAAAATAATGATTATGCTGCAAATTGATTATAAAAAATCAAATTAGACCAAAAAATGTTTAGCATTTGCTTTTTGGATTTTTCTTTGACTTAATCCCAAAAAATCATTCAAAACAAAGAAAACCACCACCCTTTATTATTATTATTATTATTTCATTTTATTTTTTTATCTATTTTATTTTATTTTATTTTTATAGCGCATCGTGCGTTGGGATAATTTGTTTATGAAACATATACTGTACATACACAAATGTATACCCCAGGTGCTTAGTCAAATGTTTTAAAGATCAATAGTGAATATCGAATGTTTGTCAATAAAGAATACGCCAAAAAGGCCGAACCGGGGCTCCGCAAAAAAAAAAAAGGAAAAGGAAAAAAAAATTAAAAATAATAATAATGGTAGTAGCGAATACCGAATATAAAGCCAATTCGTTATTGTAGCTTACCTATTCATTTTTTATTTATTTATTCATTTATTTATTTATTTGTCCTTAAAATTATGCATATACTTGCGAATATGTTTCTTATCGATATGACGTACTGTATATATGTTAGTAATTCAGTAACCATTATCATTTAACATGGTCAAACAGATTCACGACAACATACATAAACTTCATAAGAGAATCGGCAAAAAAATTTTTCGTGCGACAGTCCATCATAATTCGTAACACGTTACGCGAATATCTAGACCCTATATGTTTGTCAATTGATAGTCAAGGAACCGATCTCATCTAGATCGAGTCTATATACAGTATGTTGAAAAGAGATCTCGACGGTTTTACATCGACAATGATTATTTCCGATGACAATGTGTTTCGGACAATAACACTGTCCTCTCGATGATTACAGATCGTTATATCATTGCATTGACGAGAGTTAGCCTTATTCGTGAAAAGAGACTAATTAGACGATGCTGTGTTTCATTTGGCTGTAAAACACTGGAATTATATTTACTCGATTTAAACTAGTAACTCGTGCAATGTATTTGTCGAATCAATTGTTCGATTTCTCATTATCACAAAGGGTCGATTATTAGCTGCGCATAGTTCCCCTTCCCGTTTTGAGTGCTTCTTTGTTTTACAAAGAGCGAACTCTTCCCATTGCACCCCTCAATCAAGATGCGACTTTTCTTTCTTGTTTTTTGGATAATTCGGAAGTGCTATTCTCGCAAAGATCTGATCGATCGATGCGAAAGGCATCATCTTCGCCTCGTTTTTTAATTTAATAAAATGTTCGACCAAGTATTCTTATTGCTTGACTTGGTTGTTCCTAGCTTTTTTTTGGTTTCTTTCTCTTTTTTTTTTTTTTCCTCCTTAAAGTTTTCATGCGATCTGTACTTTTTCACATGAATGTGAGGCAATCGTCACGGAGGTTTTTTTTTTGATTGAGTATCGAGAATGGGAATAAGGGTTCGACTGCATAAAGTTCTAAAAATCGTGATGTTATTGAGTAATGTTCTAAAAATCATGAGATTAGTAAAAACAATGAAGATAAAGTGTCTATCATATGTTTTCCAAAGTTCTACGGATGACACGGCATCATGCGGAACTGAAAATCCGAGTCCTTCATCCCTTTTTTTTTTCTTTTCTAGTAGACCCCGTTTTTAATTTTTAAATTAAATTCTACGCGCGTGATGCGAAAGGTGTGATATACATGGATAATAAATACATCTTACAAACTGACCATAATCATAATGGAATGCGATTAAGGAAACTTAAAAAAAAATAAGCGAAAAAAAAAAAAAATATCCGGAAAAAAAAAGGTGCGAGGAAGAATTAGTCGAGAATCGAACGAGAATACACGAAATAAAATAAAATATTTTTGATGCGAAAACGAAAAAATACGAGAAAATTTCTAAGCTTTTGTTTATAATCTGAAAACATAAATAATTATTGTAGTTTATTAGGAGGAAAAATATAAAAAAAGAAAGGTCGAGTAAAGGAGTGTGAGAGTAGTTGGATTTTGCGTTCGTGTGAGAAATGAGATTTTCAAAAATTCATTCTCGAAAAAGGAAATGCCGCGAGAAGTAAAAAGGCTGTAAATAAATAAATAAATAAATATATACTGTATATGTGAAAAGTTGGAAAGAGAAAATTAAAAATAGGAATCACTCAATTGAAGACTCGATTGAACCTTAACGCATAAGTTTGACACTTGCCGCCATTTCGCGTAGTCACTTTTACATTCTCGACCTGAAACGTGTGAAATTTGTTGCGTTAGAGATTGAACGAATTCTCATCTTCAATTCTTGTGAAAACGTAAAGCACCCGTAATTCCGATCTTTTCGAGGGTGACGAACAAAGAGATAATTCTCACATTGGGAGAAATTCATAAATCTCACGTCAGGAGGTCGCACGTTAGAGAAATTCATGAGGAGGGCGAAAAAATCCGTCGGTTAAACAAATCTATTGTTCATTGGTGGAACCAACGAATCTGCTGTTTTTTTTGTCATTCCATTTCATTTATTAATTTGTTATTATTGTTATTGTATTAATTGATATGTAGTGTAAGTGACGGTATTCAATTATTCAATTCGAAATTTCATGAAAACTCATAGCTTTGCTTACCGAGGGTTCACTCCGTGTTGGCAAAAAAAGAATGAAAAGAATGAAGTGTGAATAGTGATGGTAAATTGAGATGGCGGAGGAACATTTGACGCGATCTTTTTCGGCGTCAAGTGGTTTATATATAGATATTTGAGCGTCTATTGTTTGCTATACAATATCACAGGCAACAAACCACCACAACCGAAAAGAGTAACTCAAATTCCATTAATTATTTATCGCATCTAGAGTACAACTTTACGTAATTAAAAATTTATATAGTACAAAATAGCTGTATGTACTGTATATGCCCTAGTGTAGGTCCAGAAATACAGGGAACTTTTTTTTTTTAATGATAAAAATGGGAGGATCTCTTTTAAACCTGGTTGGTAATATAAAAGGAAAGATGAAAAAAAAATTTTTAGATGGTCATTGCTTTTATTTATTTATTGTGCTATCTGAATCATCAATTACAACTCGAGAAGCCTAAAGGCATGAAAATGTTGCTTATTCCGGATTCATGCACAGTATCTGTGCCACATCTCGAATTTACGATTCGGCATGAAAAATATCTAAGACCGAAAGAGAAAAAAAATAAGAAAGAAAGAAAGAAAGAAAGAAAGAAAGAGACCGTTTCAGCTAAAGAAAAGAGGAACGTAATTTGCAATCATTTATCCGCATCTTCCTTAAACGGTAAAAAAAAGGTCAAGGTAATCGCATGATAAAATCGGCGAGGTCAAGTGTGAAATTTGCATATCGCATTTTCCTGGCAAGTACAATGACCGTGCAAAAAAAACAAGGGGCGAAAGCACAATAGGCGATTTTTGTGCGATACCTGTGCAACTGTCGTATTGCCTATGCGCTCTTCGCTTGGGACGACACAAAATTGGATAACACCAAGGCGATTTGTGAAACATTTTAAATTATGACCAGAAAGGGTAATTTCGTATGGTCTGTGGTTTGTTTGCGACGCTCTGTCATTATTTCCTCATCTATGATCAGGAAACATCTTGTTTGTCCAACTTACCTTATGGCCATTCCGAAACCTTTGAAAATGTCGTAATAATTTTCTCAATGCCTCGCATCCTGAACAAAGCAAGATGCTTCCGAAAGCATCGCGGATCACAAGAGGTCGGGGACGGATATTATATTTTGACTTTTATTTTTATTTTTCCCTCAATATTTATTAATCCGATCCTAAATGGAAGAAAACCCTTATTCGGTCGCCGTTGATGTCGTGTTTAATGAACGAAGGAACGAACGAATATAGAAGTTTCGTCGGTATGGTGTAAAGACCAACGGATGATAAAGGTAATGATCGCTTTGACGTCGCCGCTTTCACCATCTTTCCGTCATCTTTATTCTCTATCCGACGAATGTCTCGACGCTGGGATTTTTGATTTGTCTTGGGTAGCAAGGTGGGCACGCCGCGCGCTCGAATTCAATGTATCATTTATCGGGTTAAAATTGGTCCTTGTGTCAATGAACGTCAACCCAAAAGAGTGGTTTTTTTTTTTTTGCGCCGTATTGCATAACACAGGTGATTTGTTTATTTGTTCAATTCTCAATTTTTTGTGGACGACGACACGGTGGTCAAAGTAATCTCGTAAAATTCTTGAAGCATCAATAAATTCATTTGAAGTAGCGATTTTCATAGTATATCGATACTTGAGAACGCGTCAAGAGTAACTTGTCGTTCTATTATCACAATTATTGCGACGGCTCTCAATCGCCTTTCCGAAACCACTTTGCACCTTTTAACGCCAAGATGCCAATGTGCGTAAGTACGTATGGTGATTTTTATATACTATATATATATATATATATATATATGTTTGGTTTTTTTTTTTTTTTTTTTTTTTTTTTTTTATGGTTTCTATAGTATACTCAACTGACCCTGAACCAGACAGAGTTGATAATTCTCAGCTTTTCGGCACTAAATTGGTCGGGATAATGTAGGTTTTTCATGGATCTATTGTTCTCCATGACTTATTTATTGTTTCTTTCAGAAAATTGTGCAGGGCAAACGTGAGGAGGACCGACTCGTTCACATGTCATTTACTAACCCAATTTGGAAGGTTACCGTGATTCTGGCTACGCCACCTCGAAATGTATATAATGTACTTGAAGAAGAAAGGGTCGACGCCAACATGTGATAGAATTTAACAAAATCTTCTCATGAAAAAAAAATGTGGTAATCCATTTAAGGTAATCGAGGAACCACGTATCGTTGCACGAATAACAATTAGTATTTGTTCTTGTACAAAATAATGAATCTTCGAGATGACTTTGGGATGTGACCACCATAACCCGCTAATATAATCTTATCAGATCTTATCAGATTCTTCCCGGAAAAAAGATTTTTTATTGGTTCAAATATCAATATGAATGCGAGAACATGGTAATCTAATCTGTCGGTGGCGGAGCGGCTGGTGCTAGTGAGATCAGAGACCTGTCATGCTTGCATACATTGGTACAAGCTAGGAGTTCAGCTACAATCTGCATGTGGGGTTATGCGTCGAGAAGCATTAATGTTTGTAAACTGTGTCGCCACGAAGGTGTGGGAAGGTCGTGGCGGTTGGAGAAATTGGTGAATAGGGTGAGGGTGGCAATGGTGATACCGTAAATCAGGTTTGCTCCCTAAGCCCGCATCTCGTAAAACATTTCTTGGTTCGTTTCAAAATATTGAGCAGATAATATGTCATACAACGTTCCTTTTCATGATATACAACTTTTTATCTTTCCTCAACAAATTAGTAATTGTCATCGAGCAGAAACAAGCGAATCATCGAATGCATAATCGAAATGCTCTTTGCTGTTTCGGGATTAAGGAGGTGCGAACTCTGAAACAGCCCGGTCGACGACACCCTATAAATTAATTTTAGGATCGGTTTCTCATTTTCATATTATCGATTTCACTTTTGTCACAGAATATTATTAATGTTATTATTATGGAGATTACACTTTTCCTGGGTGACGGTGAGAGAAGTATGTGCAGGCGCGCGTACACCTCCGTCCATCCACCATTCATAAGACATCAATACAAGCGCACAAATGAAATCTTTACACAGCCGTCAGGTGAATCATTATAGACTTGGTGTTGCATCTGATTTTGTATGTCAATCGAGGTTTTAAATCCCTCGGTATATGCAAATATGACAGGTCAAACGCATACCTCAAGCTTTACATCACGCATAGCTTTTTTCTTCTTCTTCTTCTTCTTCTTCCTTCCTACCCGAACATATTCTTTGGGATGCTCATGTTCCCGGACTCCCTCGACTTTTGAGAAGTCATATGTCACAAAAACTGGAAAGGAAAATTTTGTGGGTCAAGGCAATAATAATAATTGCGTGTGCATAATAATAGACCACATCATGTGAGACAAATGATGATGTCATTACTAAAAATAACAAACTATAAAGATAATACATATTTGTGCATGTGGCAAAAAAAAGATTTCATGCCAGATTTAGACATGAACAATGAGATTCGAAAAATACTGGTCATTGTTTACATTCGACAATTCGTAAGCACCGAGAACCAATTGAAACTAGCCAAATTACAATCGCAAATAATATTCACTTTGTTCGTTTTCTTATGTTGGACATCAGCACACATACCTACTACACGAATAATCACGAATTTGGTTCCACATCGTACCAGGAGATAAAGAAAAAGAACTATATTTGGGTATTCATTATACACGCATACATCTTGATATTTATTCTTTGTTTCTCCAGATGCGTACTGAGCGAGAAAAGGGTTGTTCATTAGAACAACAACAAATAGCTCCCAACAAATTTTTTCACAGTTATGGTTTGCCATGCGTAACGGGTTAAACTTAATCCCTTTGTCGCGAAGGCCCCCTCTCGCGACGGCATTAAATCATTTGCGGCATAACATTACGATATTTGTCTATTTGTTTTTTGTTTTTTTTTTTTTTTTACTTTGCCGAACTTTGAGCAATGACAAAAAAAACCGGATGATACGATGCTTTGGGAAAAAAATTTCCGAGAGTCGTATGTACAGTATGTATGTATGTATATAATGCACATATGTACTATATATGCTGGATACACAGTATATGTGTATATGGTGTTTTTTCTTTTCTTTTCTTTTTTTTTTTTGTCAATATCAAATAAGGGTTGCCTGGTTTAACAAAATTTGTATTAATGGCAATAAATGGAATTGCTTACTTTGCGTAATCAGGTAATTAACCCTGCAGGTTTCAACAAGAAAATTGATAACTTATCAACGCATAAAAAAAAAAAACTTTTTGTGCTTGTACCCAAAGGAAAATATATAAATAATCCTCCCATCGGATTTTGAAAAAAATATTATATTTTTCAAAAAAAAATATATATATACATCCGCACATATCTTTTTGCACAATAAAAACGAAAAAAAAAAAAAAAAAATTAATAATATATATATATATATATACATAGAAATATATATATATAAATAAAATAAGAATAATAATTCACCACATTCTTTGATTCTCCTGAAGATCTCTTAAAAAAAAAAAAAAATGGGTCACAATGGTTCAAAGTTTAAGAGAAGCAAGAGAAATTCTGTCTCAGCGGCAGACCCTCATTCTAGTACGAGTGTCATGAGTAACTTCAAGGAAGAATACAACTTTGACAATCCTTACATGATGACCATTGATGAAACGCAAATTGACAGAATGCAAACGCAGCACCACATCCTGAGAACCATCTGGGATGGTAACTTTTCCGCCCCCATCAAGGAAAAACTGAAGAACGGAAATTTTAAAGTACTCGATTTCGGATGTGGTCCTGCCACTTTCTGCTTCGATCTTTCATCCACCTATCCGCTGTCGACATTTGTCGGAGTTGACTTTGTTCCAATATTTCCAACGCAAGTTCCCAGAAATACACAATTTCTCGTAGCAAACATAATGGATGGATTACCATTCGAGGATGCTACCTTTGATTACATACATGCTAGATTTCTGGTGATGTATTTTACGCAGGAGGAATGGGAAAATGTGGTGATCAAGGAGTTGACGAGGGTTTTAAAACCGGGCGGGTACTTGGAATGTTATGATAGCGAATTTATCTGGTATAACATGTCGCCATCCTTAGAAACACTGTGCAATGCTGGTGAGTGTTTCTTTTTTTTGTCTTCTGTCTTCATTCTTGGTCGTTGACGAAGTTTCTCTAAAATAAATTCACAATAGTGCAAAAGGAACTTTATGCGAGAAACATCGATCCACTAATGTCAAGAAAACTCGGTAGCTTCATAGAATCCACCGGGAAATATAAGAGCATTCAGCACGAACAAAAAAGTATCCCTTATGGCTCCTGGGGAGACAAAATAGGTAAGGCTTGACCAAAAAATTTTTCTCTTTTCTTCATTTTTTTTTCTTATTATTTTCTAACAATCTTTTCTTCTTTTTTTTCCTTAAAAATCCACCAGGTGAATTATCTGCCCAAACATTTTTCCAATTCTTTGAAGGCGTCCGAAAGCCTATAAAAGAGATCATGAACATAAACGATCAGGAATTTGACAAGTTAATGAAGAAGTTCGAAGGTGAAGTCAGCTTCTACCGCACGTACAGCAAAAATCATAGATTTGTCGCCCAGAAAAACGAATAAGACGACACGGTTCACAACCCTTTAAAAGTTTATCCTAGATTTTTTTTTTTTTTTTTCATGGTCGAAATCCTAATAGATTCTTTAATGGAAAAACATTTCAAAAGTATAATAAAACTAATAACGAACACCATACCATCATCTCACATGAAAATTATGCTAATTTAGTCACACCCTACGATTTCAGATTTCATTTCACACATTTTTGCAATATTCGAATTTTAAGTATCAGTCAATCAACATTTTAATAATAGCATTATATCGCCGTGAAAAAAAGGGATTTTAATCGATTTAATAACCCAATAATCACAAATTTAAACTTTACCGCGCATTGATTCTAGCTAGTATAAATTACGGAATGTGTGCGAGCATGGAAATTATAGATTTATGAATTTACTGGTATCCACTATCCAGTATATTTACTGCATTTACCCCATGTTTAATATCATCATTACTTATGACTCATTACCAAAGCTACTTCAAGTTATTCGCAAACTTTTTTCATTATCAATTTTTTAATAAATTAAATTTTTATTCATCAATTCGTACCAATTGATATCATTATAATTATTTTTATTACATCTACGGTAAAAAAATTTCTTATTTATATCCTTTCCAAAATCACAAATTTAAACATATGACGATATCTTTCATATCTATATCATCTCTTATATACAGTATCTACTGTTAAAAAAATCCGGACAGATTTATTAACGACTTGATAAATATTTAATAAAAATATAATGAAAAACCTAGATATACAGTATATTTTTAAGATTATAAAGAATGAAATTTATCGATTTTAAACTGTTTTCACGTATCGCCTTGTTAAAATATAATTTTGAAAATAATTTACCACTTTATACTTTGTTTAATTTAAATAAACATTATTATTGTTCTAAATTATTACTA